ACACGTTAATTAAAACTAAATAAGAAATGAAATAATTAATAAAATGTTAAAAGAACTAAAAAATATAGATGGAGGGACGGAATACCGAGCTTATCACCTTGATTAGTTTGTATTTATGGGTCATTGTTGTAGCCGTCGTCGTCGTCGCTATCAGACAGTTCTGTTTCAGATGATTCGCTATCGTCATCTAAATTTATAATGATCTCATGCGCTTCATCCAGAATGTATTCTCTGCTGAAGTACTCTTCTTCTACTTTATTAACATTTTTATTTTTTTTTTTCATGATTTTTTTAAATTCATTAATTTGTCATAAGCGTACAAAACATATAAATTATTTGCAAAAAAAATATTAAAATAAACATAATTTAACTTACATTTTTAGGATCTCACTGTAAAATGTTAAAAACGACTTAAAACGCACTGAACATAAATAGTACCTCACTATAAAATATTAAAAACGATTGTTCACAAAAAATATTAAAGCTATATAAAAGCTATATAAAATAAAATTATTAAAGCTATTTTACTAACGCAAAAAACTAGTTCGTCTCTGTCTCGCTAAGATAACACACAGAAGAGAACTGCATGTTTTTAGCAATGCCTGATTTCGTTGTTTCATCCGTAGATCGACGTCACTAAATGATGACGTCAGGTCCACGACATTCTGAATTATCTTTACCTACTTTCAGACTTCTCGACTTTTATTAGCTTTCATTGACTTCTTATACTTATACTTTTGACCTCTTGTGGACCCGTTTTATCCTCGTCGCCAATTAATATGTCCGTACTTGAGAATAGTGGATTTATTTAAGACTTTTTAAATAAAAACATGTTTGGATGTAATCCTTTATTTCTGACATTTTTCACAATGACATTTTATCTATCCCTCAACGATACCTAACCTCTAAGCGTGTTCCGTAGCAAACTAAAGAATACACTATGTTCGGAACACAATTACACAATACATCACAATTATCATTGACAGAGATCGAAGTTGACATAGTTGCCAAAGTATAAAAATATCCTGACTCCATTTTAAATCAAATAGGTCACATAATTATCGCAAAAGCATTACCATCTCTTTACAACGACTATTTAAATTCTTACGTGACATTTTTTAAATAAAACACTAATTTTGTTCTAAAAAGAACAGATTTTATTAAATAGGTAAACATATAAAACTAGAGGTATTCATTTTAAAATACAAAATAATAAAGTACAAAAACTGTTAACACCGCAACCACAGTTTAACTACAAACAGTTAGGACACTCTTAGTCGGCGCCTTTGAAGTATTAAAGTCAATGACGTATAATATATAGACTCGGCGAATGCTTTAAAAAGTGTCCAAAACATGAATACCTTTGTTATTGTTTATTGTTTTTGATACGAAGATGCACGAAGTTCATGATTTCTTACGAAGCATCACGAAGTTCATCTTGTGTTTGAAAACATCATGGACGTATGAAAACATTTTCTCCATTTTTTGTGACAAGCAAATTTTATTTTAAATTGTTGAGAGTTATTTACTTACTATTTTAGTAAAATGCCATACTATTTTATCAAAATAATTATTTCTCTTATAGACGGGAACAAAAACAAATCATAAATATTTAATTTTAATTAAAAAAATAATTATTGTCATTAGTATATAAATCAGCACGCCGCTGTTGTGATAAACATACCTTCAACCTTGAGCCGAGATCTTTCGGACACTCGATTCTATAGCGAGAATAGGGGACTGCGTAGTCTATATATTATACGTCATTGATTAAAGTATCCAGACGCCATATTGAAAACAGACTAGATCAGTTACGGACTGGCACAAGTGGTTAGAACAAAGACGTGTTTATATTATTTCAAAGTTAGTAAACAAGTTAATTTGAATTAATCACAATCGACAATATATTAATTTAATTTAATTTAATTATTATTATCAAAATGTTTTATTTATTTTATATAAAAATAAATCTTTTCTACCATAGCCAAATAAGAAACTGAAAAACTTATATTCCAAAACAACAAATTATTTCGGGAGGCAATTTTGTGTGTAAACTAATTTAAATAGACTTACTGTTAACTTTACAACAAATAATTTAACAAAAGTAAACTTACAAAAAACTTTAACAAGTAAAAATGATATCGGAAAAAATAAGAGGGAGTGAATACGTCTTCATTCACTAACTCTTATTTTTTCCGATATCTTATTTTCTAAAACAATCTTGACAAAAGTTTAGGGTGATACTACGTTCCTTACAATTTGCTCTCTTACAGTCATCACATGATTTCATGTCTTTATGTTTCGGACAAAAATGACGTCTTGTTTGCTTAGCAGGTTGTCGATTTGAAAGTTCCTCAGTTGGGTTTCTTGAACTCTTGTCTTGATCTGTTCCAAGAATTTTTATGATTGTGGTTTTTAAATCATTATTAGAGAGCTGTTTCATATCTTTTCTACTTTTCAGATGTTCATTCAAAAGCCTTTAACCGAGTAATATCGTGAAATGTTTTTGAGACAAAGAACATTGACTATTTGCGCTTTTATAAAGAACATATGCATTTTTTCTTGTTATATGTTAAATTACATAAAATACAGCCAGGGGCTATCTTTTAGTTTTTACCTGCCTTTTAAATTGCATTTACTACAGTTTCTAGTAGAATGGTTGTGAATTTAAGATTTTTTTAGTAGCAATGGTACTTGTTTCTTTTTAAAGTATTTCATACAGTTCTAGCAGTAATACCAGTTTCTTTTGAAATTAGAACGTGCTGTTACAAGGAAAATTAATTTCAGTTAGACTACTTACGGCAGTTTTAGGCTGTTCCTGTTCTTCATAAATTGCACGAGCTGGTTAATTTTCAAATTTAAAAATAATGTTGTGAATTGCAGATTTTGATGGTACAGGGCTTTCGAATGAAAACGAAAACGTAGCGGTTACATCGTTGGCCCTACTTCCAGAATAATATCATTTAATAATTTGAATTTTATGTTCAGTTGTAAAGGTTACCATTTTCCTAACTGGAAATAGCAATTACTTTATTTTTTGGCGAATAAAACCAGAATTAGTATTTATTTATTTATTAACGGGATGTTTCCATTTTTTACAAAACAATTAACAACATAAAATATCCTAACCATAACATAAATACTAAAACTAAATATTAAATAATTATTAAATATTGTTAAACAATTATTAAATTACATAAATTAAATTTTTATAAAAATAATTTTAAAATGAAATTAATATCCCCAAGTCTTAGACTTATTTATTAGACTTTTTTAGACTTTTAATTAAACGAAAAATAAAACTCGACGATAAAGATATAAACAAACAAATCACGACAGATGACTCGACTACACGTCACATTAATACCAGTCGGGTGTCACTAGCGTTCGGTCTGTTTTCAATATGG